ATTATTTTATTTATTTATTATTTCTCTTGACATCTCATTTGTAACTCTACAACAATTATTTTTTTAAAAAATCCTTCGAAAAAAATTAATTATATCTCATTCCTATTTTCTTATTAACAAGTCAAATATTAATTTATTCATTATTTTTTTTTGTTCAGAAGTGCAAAAAACCAACAACATAATGAAACGAGGTTTCATTGTAACAATTATTTGGGAAATTATATCTGTAACAGCATTTGTTTTAAACCTAACTGCTAATAGTAGTGATCGTTGGTGGGTAAAAGCAAGAGAGGGTGGCGAACATACATTTGTACGAGCTGGTTTATGGCAAGTTTGTTTTAATATGTATCGTCATCGTTTTGATTATTATGGAAAAATTTATCATGGTTGTTGGTGGTAAAGATAATCGACAAAAATTTGTAATTAAAAACATTCATAAGATTTCTATTTAGGCTTTTTTCACCTGAAATTCGTCTTTTACGTTCATGGATATCAACGAATTGGCTTCGTTGGGTTCAAGCTTTATCAACACTTTCATTAATAACATCATTATTTGCTGTTATTGCTGCTCTACTTATTTTACGTAATCGTGAAGAATTTAAATCATCAAAACAAGTTCTTACAGCAGCAATATTACATGCACTTGCTGGTATATTAATGTTAGCAACAGTTATTTTATTTGGAATTGCTGGTCGACGGCGGGATTGGATGATGAATTGGCAATTTAATTGGTTTGGTTGGAGTTTTCATTTAGCTGTTATTAGCTGTATATTTCATTTAGCAACAGCATTCATGGCTGGCTATCAAGGATCAAATAAGTAAGAGAGAAAAACAGTTTTTTTTTTTTTGAATAACAAAAAATTTCTTTTTGTTTATAGATATTTACATGATATGTATGATTATGAAAGAGCTCATGAAGAATTAGAGTATCGTTCAACATTAAAAATACCTATGTATCAAAATCGTCCATCATCTGAACGTGCTTTATCATCAAACGGAGGAAGTAATACACATCTTCATCAATATGCATAAAACTGAAACAAAAAACGAGAATCTCTTGTATTTCTTGTACAGATCTGTTTTAATACATTCCATTTTTTTTTGTTTTGTAACGCATAATATTTCCTTATCTTTCTCTCTCTCTTTTTTCATGTGCACTATATTAGCTCATTATATTTGCTATATAAACTCTAGAATTTCATATTGTCTAATCGAAATAGTTGTTTTTTTAATCATTTGTTCGTTTCCTATAGTTTACATGATTAATCGAATAAAAAAAAAATATGATAGATGACGCTGAAATATATTTACGAAAGAATATTACTTGAAATGAGGTGATCAGAGTTACGCTAGATTCACTCGTGTCCCATCATGCATAAAATTTTGGGCAAAAATATGATTAGAGAGTAGATTTAGAGAATGTGGGGAAAATATCAATGATACTATGAATTTCAATGAAATTTGAATTATATTGCTTAAGTATTCTTGATTAAATTAAACAGGTTAGTCTATGTCTCTTTAGAGTATGATAAAGACAAAAAACAATAGTGTTCCAAGATTCATCAAGAAAGTAAACTACGTAATTTCATATGATTATGGTGATCGATATTATACTTCCATATCTTGCAATTTAGTCGAGTTATCGAACAAATGAAAAAATATGAATTATAAAAAGTCAATTGCAAGAATGTTTTGAAGCTGTCAGGATTGGGAAGAAACTGATGACTCAGAAGACTGATCAGATGATTTTTGCTAAAGTTGAGTGGATACTTAGGATTGACACGTGTGACAATACTAAATATGATCTATAGTTTTTTTTTCTTCTTATGGTATTTACATCTATTCATGTTTGTGATTGTCTGTTTTGCTCGTCTAGTTGCAATGATTCATTCTTTACACGATACATATCTTTCTTACTCATATTTATCTCATGGACACTTTCTTCATCGTACACATCCTGACTTTACTACTGAATTTCTGCTTGACTGCTACTTTCAGTCAACTACTTCTTCATCTTTGTACATTATTTTTGTTCTCTCTGTCTGTTCTCTTTATGTTGTTTTACATCGATGAATCTTCATTCACTTTCAAATCAATCTATCATCATTTTATCACATGGCACCTAGCATCGTATCTATTTGTATTTCAAGAGAGCTGAATATATTTTTCGGAACTGTCGCATAAATAAAAACTAGAGAATTTTTATCGGTTGGAAAAAACGAAAATTTTTTAAGACTATAGATCGCCTTGTTCTCTACTCGGGACATTCGTGGTCAATTGAAAGAAAAAAGAGTAATAAGAAATCGCTACAATAGACTATTTGAAGTATTCTTTTGTTAGTTGAGGGTGGATTGATGATGAAGTACCTTCTTCTCTTTTCCGACTCTTATATGTTGTGAATTATCTTCTACTTGTTCGTTACTCGATAAATCTTTTTTATCAATGCAATGGATTGTTAAAATGACAATTGTCTTTTGTACGTCTTCTTTTCAACAGCTATTCTTTCGAGAATATATTCTATTAAACCTTAATTATATATATATATTGTTTTTAAATTAAACGATTGTAGATGCTCGACGTTAAAAGATTTCGATGCTTAATACTTTTTCTTTCGTAAGATTGTAATCACTTATACTTTATCTTAATGTTTGTTATTGTGTTGATTAGAATAATCTTCCATTAAGTTTATTTAGTATAATATCATTTCAATCAGCATATTATTCTTACATGAAATTCATGTTATTTTAGTCTGACAATTCATTATTGAACTGTCAGAATGTAACTTCTAAGAATTTATTAGAAATTTCATATAATTGTATGAATATGCTAGTCAATACTACTCCATATATTGATATTTTTGAGATTAAAAACAAAATATTCGATAAAATCATTTCCAACATTTAAATAAATACATGGAGAAGAATTCTAAATTGAATATAGCATTTAATTTAAAGAAATAACGTAAATAGTTTCTATCGTTTTCCTTGGGTTTCATAATTTTAAAAAATTTTTCTTATAATATTTGTTTCATTCATATTATTCATGATGAGAAACATGATAAGATTTTATAAATACCAAAATACCACAATTAATATTTATTACTACATTAGGCATCTATGCCCTAAAACCTGTTTAATAATTTATAAAATCTCCTTTGTTTCATCTTTATTATGAATGTATGTCATATCAGAAGATATTTTTATATCAAATTATCAAGGTTCATATTACTAATAAAGCTTGCGTGATCTTTTAGTAGTTTGATGAAAGATAATGTTATATAGGTCATTTAATAATTGATATTAGATTCATTTAATAAAAAAAGTCCCTCGAATATATATTATGGTTTATCTTTAGATTTACTCGATAGATAACTAAACTTATATCTCCAAAGTCATTAGCATGATGAAAAACTTTATTTCCAGTTTTTTTTCTTTACACAACATCTGTTACTTTAATAATCAGACATGTTATAAATATGAAATGAGGTCTCCTTTTGATAAACGAATGAAGAGTAATCAAGTGCATACAGTAGAACACAAAATTGAAAGAAACCTAAAACATGACCTGAATCCAAACAAATGATTTTAGGGTTTTTTGCCATTATCTATACACGTAACTGAATAATGTTATTCTGCATTTTCTATTTGTCTTTAACAGTGAAACCATTACACTTCAGGGTAACACCTGGGGAAATTTTGCATTAATGTAGTCTGATATTGATGAAAATTCTTTTCATCCAGTCTCAAAGAAAAAAGAAAGATCCATAGTGTTTGATGCATGTCTATAGTCAACATAATAATTGAAACTCAATCATGTTCTGTGAAAGTTCATGATCGATGTGACATATTTATTTTTCTTTTCCATTATTTAAATAAGACTTATTATTCCATATGCGTGTGTGTATCAATATGTCAAGTTAGTTTAGGTTGTATATTATGTTAAAAAAATTATTATTTTGTATGTGATTAACAATCCAAAGATATGCTGAGTTGTATATATAACTTTTATGTGTCTTCTAATGAAAAATATTTAAGTAATGCAAAAAAAAAAAGAGGCAAGTTCTTTTTTTAGTAAATGCTCTTAAAGATTAGCTGATGAAGCTGATGGAAAATGTAAATCCTTGAAAAAAAAGTCACTTTTTTTTGGGTACTATCGAAGGTTATCAAATTGCATATATTTAATATGATGCGCTTTTTGTTTAACATATATCCTCTAGAGAACTTTTTTTCGGTATTTTATGAATAGTTTATATGATGAATGTAGATGTGGATGACGGATTTATTTTTATAATAACTAACTTATTCTTCATTTTTTTTCTAATAGATAAGATTCCCATGAGTTATGTGCTTTTCTTTTATTCTTTTTTTTTTTCATATCTATCGCTCATTTCTCATTCCTATCAATCTAAATCTATGCTTTTTTGACTCTTTTATATATATATGTAGATAGTTTTTTTTCTTCATCATGATTCTTCCATGCACTCACTCGACCTCGAACATCATCATCATCATCATCATCATCATCTGCCACACGATCAACACAACATAACGCTCAGTTCTTTTTTTTTTTAGTTGTCTTTTTCCTTTTTATTCTCTTTAGTCTATTCTTATTCTTGTTTCATGCACTATTCTTCACGATTATTATTTGCTTCTCCAGTGGTGTATAAATCCTTGTAAAAGGAAAAAACAATTTGTTCGTCTTTAATCAAAATATCCTGGTACCTAGAAAAGTCAATAATATAGTGTGACGATGATTTTCTAGTCTACCATGTTTCTGACATATCTAATTTAAATTGTAGGGCATAAAACACATTTACTCTTCGACAGATGGTTTTCTGTTGTTCATGTTTTTTTCCTCATTCAATCTTTTCTTCTTGATTCTTTTTCATCCATATCTTGACACACGTCATCTAAGTCGCCTTCTGGCTGTTGCATTACATAATTATTCTGTCAACTAGATGAAATTTATTCATTCCTCTTCATAGATCAATAATAACAAGCATGAACGACCAAAACAAGTCACAACCTGATGTTTTAGAGCAAATCTATGTGTAAATAATACTTGTTTTTTTTGTTTCCTTTAATATTCTTCTAAATTCAGATTACTTCTTTTTTTTAGACATGATGTTTACAATCGACTTGATTCAACAACATTAACACAAGATACAACAGCATGGCCTAATGTTCGAAAATTTCTTAATCGAATATCATCACAACATAAAAATGCTTTAGTAGCTGATGTTGGTATGTTAAAATATAATCATTTATTTTTTTTCTTTGCTTTTCTATGTCTGATTTTAATAAATAAGGTTGTGGAACTGGAAAATATATTAAACTTAAATCAGATTTATTTACTATTGGTTGTGATCGTAGTGCTCAATTATGTGAAATAGCTCGAGATAAATATTCTCATATACCAATTATTATAGCTGACAATCTTCATTTACCATATCGAGATAATTTATTTGATGCTGTCCTGTCCATTGGTGTTATACATCATTTAGCTACACATCAACGACGTGTCAAAGCTATTCAAGGTTTTTATTTTATTTATTTATGAAATTATTCTTTTGTTTTTATTAATAAATTCTGTTTTAGAATGCCTTCGTATTTTAAAACCTAACGGGGGTCAATTATTAATTTATACTTGGGCAATGGAACAAAAACAACGAAAAGTAAGTTTATAGGCAAAGAGTAAGAGAAAAAAAATGTTAAATTATTGTTGTTTTTTTTTTATTAGTTTTGTAGTCAAGATGTCCTAGTTCCATGCATTAATCATCAAGTATCATCAGGTACTGATTATTTTGTACGATAATTGTTCTTTTTCAGTTAATTGTTTTTTTTTCTATTAGATATCATTCTTGATAAAAATTCTTGGTCAATTTCACTTGATATGGAAGAAAATTTTTTGCGTCGTATTGAACAAATTAATAATCAAGCAAAAAAATTTTCAATGATTGAATCAATACAAAATTTATTTCAACGTTTTGTAAAACAAACATCATCAACTCCGTCCACACCAACATTATCACATCAAGATCGCTTAACATTTCGTATTCGACCATTTCCAATGAGTTCATATGATAATGAACCAAATAATACAAATCCATATAATAAACGTTATTATCATGTATGTAAACATGGCGAACTTGAAATGCTTATTGAAGAAGCATCAAAAACTATAGTCGGATCAAAAATAATCAAATCTTATTATGACCATGGAAATTGGTGTGCTATTGTTCAAAAAGATATATGACGTTTGTTCACTGTGATTTAGTTTTTCTTAGGAAAGAAAAAGATTTTACGTAATCATTAAAATTTTCTACCAAAAAAAAATTATTGTGATAAAACTGTAAAGAACTCAGTTGGTTGATAAGTATAAGGCATGTTTTTTTTCTAGGTGACAAAGGTTAGATTCTTTTTTTTTAATATTTCAATAATGTTATCAAAAGATTGAGAACCTTTGCTTGATCAACTCAATAATATATCAAGTATGCTTGATAAGAGAAAATAACTAAATGAAAAGAAAAAAAATACGACTATATATTTTATTGGACTTTTCTTTTTTTTTTTTTTATTGACATAATATTTGAAAATCGAAATTCCTTGTTGATTATATTTATTTGCCATTATAAATAAGCATCTTTTGTTGATAATTTACTATTGTGTTTTTCTTTATGTCTTACAACAAAAGAACTACAATGTACACCATTATAACTAGATCATTTATTTTCTTGTCTTTTATGATATTTAAATACAGAACCTTATTGATAAACACGTATTAATAATAGAAAAAGAAAGAGCATGTTCAAATTATTCTACTTATCGTGTTAAATTCAGATTAATTTAAATAATTTTAAGTGTCAATCGATAAACAATTCTTTGAATCATCAGAACCATATTATTTTCTGAGTCATTATCATTTTCAACTATTTATAAATATGTAACATAATTATTTGTATTTTATAAAGACAAAATGTTACTTATGAAGTATACAAATTATCCTTTCAAATGGTATTATTCATTATAAAATAATGATCTTAAGTGCTAAACATGACAATATATGAAGCAGAAAAATATGCTTTTCAAAGATTAAATTCATGCATTCTTCCGTAATATAAGCTGCACCTTTCAGTTGTTTCTCGTTGTCATTGACATTTTTGACATGAAAGAAAATTGACAAGAGACTAGATGAGTGACAATTTAATGAAGAGCTTCTGATATAATACATCCTGTTCTTTTAAATAATATTCAATGTACTCACGAAGTCATCAAAAAATCTTTGTCTTTTCTCTTCTTAGGCATATCTAGATGTATTCATTCGAGTACTTTCTTTATTTTATATTGTCTTATTGAATTTCATCTAAGAGAAATATAGAACTACTGTTCAAAATAATAATATGTAGGACGGATAATCAAATTGACATCACTATTATATTGCAGGAAATGAGTTTTATATGAAGAAAATGTTCAATAAACTATTTTTCTTCTATGTTTCTTACTACATACTAATTTCGATAAAGAGTTTTTTCCGTTATTATTCATGATAGATACTTCAAAGGAAATGGTAAAATAAGAAAGAGTAGTTAGATGTGGAAAGAAAACGAGAATAAAATTTATTGCAAGTGGCATAAAAGAAAAAGAATTCTACTATTAGTACTCTCAAACTTTACTTCCTATGAGCGACCTAGATTTTTTTTTGCTTATCAAAAGATTTAACAACTAAAAACCTCTCGAACTCTTTATAACATTTCATTTCATTCGTTTGGAATATGTTCCAAACAAAGACATAAATCAATAAAAACCGACCAAAATTTTAGTCAGATTTTCTAATATGATGTGTAAAACAAGTGTACAAGAATATTCAAATAATAAATAACTAGTTTTTATAGGGACATTCAGTAAAAAAAGAACCAATATGCCAAGGGCATATTTACGATAGCTCTTCAATCTTAAATAAGAATAGTAAGAATCAATTAATGCTTTAAAGAGTGGGCCATAAATAATTATATGAAAAAAAAAGAATATCTTCACTTCAGTTCAATCAAATAGGCTAAAGATAAAGACCAATTGAAGAAGTTTATTTCATAGAGATAACATAAGAAAACTAATGATTTAAAGTATCATTATTGGATTCACTCAAGCAATGTAATTTGCTGTCAAGTAAGAGAAATACATCTGAGTTGATCCATCAATTACATTTTATTCTCATCTAACAAAATAACAAGAAATAATCAAAACAAACTTCATTAAGGATATCACATTGATGCACGTGCTGTACTGTTCAAAATTATAAGAACAAGGCAACTGTTGATTTTTTTTCTGATGTTAAGTATCTAACTCAAATTCAAATAGTGATTTGTATAGCCAATAAAGTTCCCTATTAGATGTACTTTATATCAAGGTTTCATAATTGAATTATGTGAGGAAGCTTTCTAAAACACTGAACAAGGTAGCTTTCTGATTCCAAAATACGTTGTAAGAGTTTGCTTCTGTAGAAGTTCTATCTGAAAGAATATAAATTTATGAATACTATGAGAGATCACCGCATATTTTACGACCTTCTCATACAAATTCACATGCATCACCAAACAAGAAAGCAAAATTTTACAAAAAACCGTTGATAAATGCACTTTTTTTTTGTAGAAGAGTCCAAAAGAAATTAAATGAATTCCATTTTACTGTACGGCTTTTCAAGATATTATGGCTCGCAAACATTTTACTCCTTCTAGAGTGTCAGTAGAAAAAAGATCTCGCTCATTTCCGTATCACATCCTGTTGGGTTTATACTTCCTATTGTTAAAGTTGTACACGAAATGTGGATAGAGAAATGTAAGACGGAATAAATTTAATTTCCTATGGACCGATATTTTCTATTTCCTGTAGCTTTCTAGAAGAAGGTTGAAAAAAAATTGTGGCGATCTCTTATATCATCAAGAACTTTGGGTTCTTTCAGATAGTACTGGTAAAAATGAACTTCCATAATGTATTCTGAGCTCAGAAAACTTTCCGACATAGTCGAACTACAAAATTTGATAGAGAACTTTATTTGCTATCCAAATCATAATATGAATTTGAGTTCAGTACTCAACATGTTAGAACAAAGTCAACCATACCTTGTTCTTATAATTATTATACCGAAAACTTTTCAAACCAATTAGGTTAAAAGTCAACAGTTGAAATATTATGAATTTCTAAGTGTGTTATATTGATTTTTGTAAGAAAAATCATCAATAAGTGTTCAAAAGATTCAGTGAAGTATTTGAATAATTAGGCGAAAATTCTTTCCGTTGTCATTGTCTTCGGCGAGAACAAAAAAATATTAATGAATTCCTTCGCATGTTTTTTTTTTGCAAAACAATAGACTAAAATTCAAAACCCTCTGCCATCAACAAAAAGAAAGCAATGAGCCCGTTTGGTTGAATCTAAGTGCAGACATTCCTATTTTGTTGCCATACAATTATCTATGAGTTATCGTGTATCCAAACTAAGTTAAAACTCACAAACACTATCAAGGGTTATATGATGCAGTTCATTACAATAGGAAGTCAAAAGTCACATGTCAATCATTATCTAATGTTCATCTTGCAAAATCAGTGCTCACTGAATTCATTCGACTAGAATCATTTGTAATAACCTGCCTAACACTACACACTAAAAACCAATCTATATCCAAACAATGTTAATTTCAAAAAGCAAAGTGAACGTGTTATATTGCATACTTGACACCAACATACAACCCTGTCTCATTCTAAACTAATCTTGAATGAATAGAAAACTACGCTGACGCCTACATCTTTCAAAAAAAAAAATAATTACATAACAACTTTTCTTTTCTTTGATAAATTTATTTATGCAAACAATACATATACAAGAATATTTGATTTAACTATATCGATAAGTATTGGTATTTTTTGGTAATTTCTATAGTAAAATTCTATACATAATTAATTATGTTCAAGTAATAATTTTTCTAATGATTGTTTTAATTTTTGTAATGATATATTAGCTTGAGGTTTATTGCTATTATCATTTTGAATGTCATCAAGGAGTTTAATCCATGGTCGAATATGTTTTTCAACTTGTTCATATAAACTAGCAATTGAACCATTGATTGGTTTCATACGATCAAGAAGAATTTGAAGTTCATTACATCTATGAAATAATAACAACAAAATTACATCAAATAAAAATTAATCATGAATACATACAATCCATTATGTTGTGGTTGACAACAATAAGATGATTTTAATGGACAATCACGAAATATTCGTTCATCAAGTTCCCATTCAATATCAAGACGCATTTGTGATGTTGACCAATCAATAGTAAATCTTTAAAGAAAAAAACATTAGTTAACACTCTGTTGAGTCACTTTTGACTATGATCTTTCTACTAGCAGGTCTCAATAATAGGAATGAAAGATTTCGAATCAAAGCCAATGATTGAAACAGAAGACTAACCATCATGTAATTCAAAGACCTTATTTAACACGAAAATAGCTACTTCTATAATTATCAAACTATAAAAAATTCTCCGAGACTACTGATTTTTCAAAAACTTATTCGTAGCGAGTAGAACTTCAGCTTCGCACACATACAAGAAGAACACAACTACGAAAAAAAAAACAAATTAACAAAAAAGTTCAATGTAAATGTCATTCTACACAAATCAGTAGATGCCGGCAAGATGGTCTCAGTTATGCAGGGATCGGAATCAAAAACAACCGATATCACTTATGTTTGCGAATGTGTCATTTATGGCGCACTCTGCATCTTCATAAGCTATTCCTATATTGGAGTTCACACTAACTCTACTGAATTTGTGCTAGAAGATAAATAATTAATTATATTTTATACGTACTTATTATCAATTAATTTACATGGTAAAGTTTCAAGACAAACAATTAATGTTCGTGATAAATTATTTGCAATAAGTGAATATTCAATTAATTTTCGTATAAATTCTATAAGATATGACATAGATATTGTACTTGTTAATGGACGATTCCAATAGGTATTTATTTCATTTTTAAGTAATTCATAAGATAATTGTTGACTTTGATTTAAATTTTCTATGAATAAAATAAACAAATAAAGGCTTTTCTTTTTAGGTGTTAATAAATTTACCATCAGTAGAATAGAAAATTTTACATTCAATATTATCATCATTTTTATCAGTTATTTTTCTCCAAGTTGTAATACGACCAATTGTTTTTCCATCGAGTTGAATACGAACAAGATTATCAAAAAATCC